CTTCCTACAGTATACTAATCATATTGTTAAACAGGTAGATAGATAGTGTCACGAATCCTGTCCGTGGCCTTCCGTCCGATTGCCACCAGAGGTTGCCCTTCTATTACAATGACTCTCCCATAACACAGAGTGTTACATGTCACCCCGGACTACATTTTCCATGTTCCATTTCACTGATTACACTCTCACCTGTAGCCAATCACACACACTATATAACACCCACTCAGATCTTTCTCACATCGCCCAGTATTGTTTAACGTTTATCGCTCTCGTAGTGATAGCTACATTACGGAGCCAGTCTAGTTTCTCCAGTCTTAATTCCCAGTCGTATCTAGTCTTGTTCATTGCCTGATTTCTCGTATTTAGATCCTAGCCTGTGTATCTCCATTCTGTGTGTTCTCTGTCTACCATGGATTTTCGTCGCGCCCTGTTTGGATACTGTATGCTTCTCGCCTGGACTCTAGCCTGTTTTGGATTACCCCTTTGCTCTGCTATCTGGATAACGTTCGCCGATGTGTTGACCCACGCCTGTGTTAAGAATACTCTTTTGTCTAGCCCTGTTCAACCTTGTTTGCCAGTGTCGATCTTTGCCTGTTTTGACCACGTCTTTCTTCAAATAAAGCTTTGCAAATGGATCCACATATCCCGTGACTCTGTCACTCCATAACAGACAGACAGACAGACAGATAGATAGATAGTTTTGCTAATTTTATATCATATAGCTTTTAAGTAACATCTATTTTAAATTATTAATAAAGGTTAATATTGACTACACTTTACAAAAATGTTGCGTTAAAACAACCAAATTTGGGCTATTTTAACCCAGCTGGTTAAATGTTTGACCCAATATGCTGGGTTGTTTTAATTAACTCAAATATTGACTGAAAATTAGTATTGCTTGCTTAAAATCAACCAAAAATAGGTTGGAAATTAAAAATCAGACAAAGAATTACTAGAGGCAACAGACTCAGGCAGTAGACACGGATTTCATGCTCTGATGTCACATGTCCATTTTCTCACACAGTCAAAAGCACCCTCAGTAAAACTGTACTAATAGGATATTGCCTAAACAGATTTGGTAAAGGCTCCACTGCATATTTGTGTTTACTCTGTGGAAAGTATCAAAAGTTTCTATTTACAAGTTTTAGTAGCATTGAGCAATGTAGCCAATCAGTCATATCTGTTGACTTATTGAACATCTGTGATTGGTCATTGTGTAAGTTAGTCAGAATTCACTCACCTCTTTTTTTCTTGCACTCTTGCAAATCCTCTCATTGTAACAAAGTGTAGACATGATGTAAATAAGAGCTTCATTGATTATAACGGAACATTATGAGACTGCGATAAAGTGAAGTGAGTGACAGCTTTTTAGTGATTATATGGAAGCACTATTTGCTCACATTAGCCTACATAATCCATTCAGAATTTGAATAAAAGTTTTGATTTTAGTGCTGCTTACAGGACCAATGGCCACATACCCAGTACATGCAGCAAAGTTTTAGGAGTGACATATAGAGTGAATTGCCCTAAAGTGGGCAAATACATTTTTTTGCATTTTTGTGGGACATTTCAGACTTCTGTGACCTATTGCAATGTGTAGCCAAAACATTAAACCCACACTCAATACCATTTTAAAACCCCAGGATGTGTCCTAATCAAATCAAAAGAGAAAATGTAGATAACACATTCATAAAAAAAAAAAGATAGACATTTTAGTGCTCTAAGTGCAAGTCGTCTGAGAAAATCTGCAGTTTCCCAATGTGGGACACTAAAAAATGTCTATGATAAAAGGCCAAAATCACATTGATTCACGTAGAACAGTAACATCTTAAAAGTTAGTAATTCTCTTGGTTATGGATGGATAAAATATGGATAACTGAACATCATCATACAAATAATACAATATCATAGTTTTGATGCATTTATTATAAAGACATTAAGCAACTATTATCATAGGCCTATGTTATTTAGATTTCTGACTGTTCTCTAGTTCGTTTTACTTAACAACAGGCATAGCCTATGCCTATTTGAACTTGCAAAAAAACATCAACCCACAGTTTGAACAATCTTTAGGCTAGATTCAACATTGAGTCAGAATTCATGAACGTGCAGTGACCTGCTGTTAAAAACATTCAAGAACATTTTGCCTGATGTTTTCTATTTTACTAAACAACAAACACATGCAATCATAGGGCTGGACAATAATTCAATATCAATATGTATCGCGATATAATTTTTTTCAATAACGGTGATATGATTTTTAAACACATTTCCGATATTTCGATATACATTACCAGTTTCCCATACATTGATTTATTTGTGCCGTTTGACTTGAATAAACATGAGCACTGCATGTTTCAAAATCATAACACGGCGCGGGTGTTTTATATGAATGTATCTCTGAAGGGAATTGACTGTCTTCAGAAAAGTTTCGATGGCATTTTCATTTGATCTGATAAAGAAGCGTTCATGAGCGGAGCTGCTTTGATTACAGCCGTTACTGGAGAAACCGCTAGTTTTATCACTCTAAAAGCGCCTCCTGCTGGCAGAGAATGAGTTTTCATTTTAAATAAGCCCGTCTCCAGCAACATTTCCAGTTTTTGTTGTTGTTCAATTTTTTTGTTTTCTGCAGCGACTCGGAGCACTTTTCATACCCTTTTTTCTGGCTGAAGCACATTTGTTTCAATCTATAAGAATAATCAGCCTACACTACCAGTCAAAAGTTTTTGAACAGTAAGATTTTTAATGTTTTTTTTTTTTTTTAAGAATTCTCTTTTGCTCACCAAGGCTGCATTTATTTGATCCAAAGTACAGCAAAAACAGTAAAATGTTGAAATATTTTTACTATTTAAAATTATTTTCTATTTGAATAGATTTTAAAATGTAATTTATTTCTGTGATGCGCAGCTGTATTTTCAGCATCATTACTCCAGTCTTCAGTGTCACATGATCCTTCGGAAATCATTCTAATATGCTGATTTGCTGATTATCAGTATTTAAAACAGTTGAGTACATTTTTTTTTCCGGATTATTTGATGAATAGAACGATCCAAAGATTAGCATTTATCTGAAATAAAAAGCTTTTTTATACATTATACATATTCCATTCAGTATCATTTTTATTATTTTTTTGGGAAAGAAATTATAGAAATTAATACTTTTATTTAGCAAGGATGCTTAAAATTGATCAAAAGTGATGATAAAGGCATTTATAATGTTACAAAAGATTTCTATTTCAGATAAATAGTGTTCATATCGATATCGGAATTATATCGTATCGACCGAAATTAAGAAATATATCGTGATATCAATTTTGGCCATATCGTCCAGCCCTATGCAATCATACAAGTCTTTTTGAAAACCAGCCTGCACAAACCTTAGAACTACCTTAATAAAACAACCTGCAGAGGTTAACTCATTACATCTCTAGAAACAAGCAGTCCTTGCATGTCAAGACACCATCATCATCATCTATAACCCCATCTGCAATAACAGCATTCTAATAACACTAAAACACTGTAAATAACTACTTATTTGACCCACAAACCATGCCCCACCACACATTTTTGACTGGCTGAAGTACTGTCTCACTTTTCGAAACCATATTTCCTAAAGTGGGACACTAGGAAATTTGATTAAAATATAAAACATATAGTTTATACGTAGTATCAGAATGGTTTTGCTTAAAATTAATTTATACTCCTTAATATCAAGTTTGTCAAAACTCAATGTAACTGACTTTTGGGTGGTCTTTATACAAGGTGCTTCTTGTTTGATGACTGCTCCACCCTCATGATTTTGATCACATGACACCACAGCTTTGCTAACCCATAGTTTCACTGGCATTCACATATTTATGGGGGAGCTACAAACACTACACCTTAGGTGTCCCACATTCGGCAGTGTCCCACTTCAGGGCAATTTATACCCTCCAAACCCCCACCCATCCCTCAACAGCCCTGAATCCAGAACTTTCTGTTTTCTGGATAACTGATAAGCATCAACCAACTGCATCATGGCTGCGTTGGACTGACTTGTGGGACTATACTGGACATTAGCAAAACCATCTCCCGCAATATCTGGTGACTGTCCAGTTCTGACAATGTCAGTAATTTGCTTTTGAATGAGTAAAGAAAAGCCATCGTTCTTCTCAACTGCGCCATCTATTGGTTAATAAGGGGCAGTGGATTCATTTATTTCCCTATTTTGTCAGACTGTGAATAAAGAGCTTTCACATAATTTAAGGCAAGCATAAAAAACAGAGAAACTGACTAAAAAAAGGACTACATCTGCTTGTAAACAGGACTCCACCACCCCCTGAATGCTGACTGCTTTATTTATTGAGGAAAAGCTTGTCGGTGAGCTGAGAATCTAGAGCACCACTGTTTTTACTGTATATGTATGCTATATCAATATTAATATATTTATGTATGTATGTATGCATTTCATTTAAAAATTTTGGCAGCAATTGTCATTCACAGTTTCCATTCACCTGTTTGTATTGTTTTGTTATCTAACGTGTTTGTTGAGTTCACCTAAGCTGTGGTGAGATTTAAGTTGTGGTTAAGATCTTTTTTTTTTTTCAAGAACGCATCGCATGTGACATCACAGATAGGGCCTTTTAAGCTCAGTTTTTCTGCTGACAGGTCATTTTTTTTGTTATTCTATTGAGATACAGGACATTTGACTTTCACAAGCACTCCGTTTTGCAGGCTGGATCTTTGTGCAGGTAAGTCTGTCTACACACTTTAAGAGTAATTTCAAAGAGATATCAAAGTAGCTGATTCATAAATTGTGTGTATATAAACATATAGGCACATTATTTGATTGTTATATGCTGCATGATTAATAATTTCTAATACTAATGAAAAATTAGCAAATTGGTGGCTGAGAATGGATTTACTGCTAAAAAAAAAAAGCATGCTTTCATTCTGTCCCGAAACTCACAGTCAATTGTTTAAAATGAAAGTGAGAACATTTGAATATATACATATGCCCGGTTTCACATTGTGTCACAATCTAACTTCTAGCTTTCTAGATTCCTGCGGATCACATCATTAAAATGTTGTGGCTTTTGTCAATGGTTTTGGCTCTCATCACAGTGCTTGACGCCTGTCCGATACCCTGCAAATGTGAAGATCATGACATCATAATTTGTTCGGACCAGAGACTTCTGGAGCTCCCTCATCTGCCTCAGAGTACCAAGCAATTATATGCTACACATAATATGATTCAAGCTCTCCCAGATGAAGGTTTGGAAGGATTGTCGATTCTCGATCTCACCAAGAATGTCTTCAAATTGTCACTCAATACCAACTGGCAGAACATTAGCAATCTTACAAAGCTATTTCTGAGTGGAAATAGACTGAGCACATTAACACCAAGACAGTTTCAGGGGCTGTTCAACCTCAAAATATTAGATCTCAGTGACAACTACATTGAAACACTTCCTCAGAAGTTCCTTTACGGTCTGACCAAGCTTCAGATCCTTAATCTGAATATGAACAAGATATTACGTTTATCCTATGGGGTCCTGGATGGAGCTCCTGTCCTTAAGGACCTCCAGCTCAGAAATAACATGATCGAGATGGTCGAGGTAGGTGTGTTTGAGAACTGCACACATCTAGATCAAATTTATCTGTCAATGAACAACCTAAAAAGTGTAGGTAATGGGAGTTTTAAGGGTGCCATAGGTCTAAATCACCTCGATCTTAGTCGAAATGGAATAGTTGCCGTACCTACCGGTGTCCTTCAGGACACTCTGAACCTCACTAGCCTCTATCTTCAAAAAAATAACATAACTTCAATTCCTGAGGACATTTTCTCTGAGATTCCCATGCTGAAGCATTTGGATTTGAGTCATAATGCTCTTGTTTCCATGTCCGACGGTTCTCTCAGAGGTCTCTCCCAGCTGGGCGCATTGGATCTGAGTTTCAATCAGTTGCGGATGCTAACGTCACATGTGTTTCAGGACTTGGCAAAGCTTGAGAGCCTTAATTTGTATCACAACGATCTGATGTTGCTTCCGAACGGCCTGTTCAATAACTTAAGCAGGGTAACAGAACTTCAGCTGGACAACAATAATATTTTTGTAATTCCACCGGACCTCTTTCACCCACTTTCAGCTTTGCACGATCTGCAACTGGACAACAACCACATTTCGGAGCTCCATTCACACACACTTATGAAGCTGAGGAAGCTTAAGCATCTCGATCTTTGCAACAATGATCTTGTGAAGATTCCCACGCACCTCTTCAAAAGGACACGCCATCTGAGGGATCTTAACCTGGAGAACAATCATATCCGTTACATTCCAAAATTGTCCTTTAAACACTTAGTCAAGCTACAGACCCTGAAACTCAGCAACAACCACCTGTCAAGACCCTTTGCAGATCTACTGACTAGTCTTAGTCATTTACGGGAGTTATGGCTCAGTGAAAACCAGATAGAAACCATCCCTATTGGATTTTTCACAGGTCTTACAAAACTGAGGTTTCTGGATTTGTCCAACAATAAACTGCATTCCATCTCTTCTGATGCCTTCAAAGATCTGTCCGCATTGAAAGAGCTGGATCTGAGATTCAATGCTCTCGATAAACTTCCAGATGACATCTTCACATCTTTGATAAATCTCAAAAGGCTCCACTTGGAAAACAACCAGCTCACACACTTGCCCACCAAAGTGTTTTCCGCTCTATCCAGATTGGAAGAGCTCCATTTGGACAAAAACCAGATCCAGCACATTCATCCAACACAGTTTGAAGGCTTAGTGATGTTACGCGAACTTGATATTAAATTTAATCAACTGCGCTATATGGACAAAGGGACTCTGGTGCCTTTAGCAAATCTAACACTTATCTATCTTAATGGGAATCCATGGGATTGCTCTTGTGTGTTCATTCTCTATCTAAGTCAGTGGTTTAACAATAATACTCGCTTAGTAAAAACTACACCCATGTGCTCTTCTGGTCAATATCTTTCCTATCCAGCTCTGTTCCCATATTCGTTATCACAGCATTGTGCATATTCTGCATGCATCTCTTTTAACACAGAGAAATTAATGGTTCTCATTGCTTTCACTCTGGGTTTTCTTTTATTTTGAGATCTAGCTATCTGTGCTGTGCTAAACCCTGAGATCTGTGTGGTTAAAACACCACTTCTTCTGTGCAAATGATTTATGCTTTTGACCTCTGAAATGCATGCAACTGTTGGCATCAGAGGAGCAATATACATGATGATATTCCATAAAACACTGAAATATGATTTATCTGAGATTTAATGTTTTCCATAAAATAAACTGCTATGCCAAATACTTACAGCCTCTTTACTTCTCAGAGAGTGTGTGACAGGATTATGCATTTTAAAAAGGCCACATGCTGACGCTGCTAGAGGGAATTTCCACTTACTCATTTCAGAACCCAGAGAAGATTCACTTGCATTCACTCATCCGAGTGTTTCTAAGAATTTTATATAGGTCTCTAAACAAGGATGTATGACCGGATGCAAACCGTGGTTAATTTTCTGCAAAACTGGTTTGATCACATTTTCTGTGCGCTTCTTCATTTTATTGGCCTAGCTTGTCAATAATGACTAGAAACTGACAAAAAGGATATTAATTCAAATTTATAAGTTGATTAAGATTAACATTTTGACAAATGTTTTGGACATCAAGCATGTCAAATTTTAGCCCACCCTTTTCCAGAATTTAATCACTGTAATGTGTCAGGAATAGAGTTTTAAAAGTAATCATGCTACTTATGTAGAGACTGGCTTTACTGGAAGATGAATAGTCTATTCAGGAAGAGTGGAAGAAGAGGAAATGCCTTGAAACATCTACATCTAAATGATATTTTACTAGTTTTCGTTGTCTCTACAGTTATAAATGCAGAAGATTTTCAATTAATGTGGAAACTAAGGCTGATGATACACAGGGCAACTTTTTAAGCAATTTTGCCAGGCAACTTTTTTGAGCAATGTTGCTTGGGCACTTTCCCACTAAGAATGGGTAACAAATTTCTATCTGGATACTTTACATTGGTTGTGGGCCCTGTGTTTCACCTGGTTGTCCGTTGATGGCAACATTGCTCAAAGTTGCCCCGTGTATCATCAGCCTAAGAATAAAATAGAGTGGAATGATTAAACATATAGGAAATGAATGTAGACTTTGCAAAGTCAGAAAAACCACAACAAATAATGTTTTGACTGTTGTGGGACCAGATCAGTATTAGTAATACAGTATTGCCTTGACTAATATTTCAAGTATGTAAATTCAAAACAAATGGGGTCAAATCAACAAAGTACTATTACAGACCATGTAACCAATTAGAACCTAGACAATTCAAATGATGTAGGATTTAAATATATATATACATCGTTTCTCGTGTGAGCTTCAATACACGCTTTTGTCATTTTTAATTGGAGTATCCCTTTAAGAACTGTAAGCAACATGCATATAATGCTATATTTTGATTATATCTATATATATATAAATTATCATGATCCCTTTAATCAAAATATAGCATTATATGCATGTTGCTCACAGTTCTTAAAGGGATACTCCAATTAAAAATGACAAAAGCGTGTATTGAAGCTCACACGAGAAACGATGTTGAAGCACAGAGGACTGTGACTTCTCGCAAGAGATTCACAACGTGCTAACTTTTAACTTTTAAGGATGCACTTACACTTACATTACATGGACTGACAGAGATGGATTATTTTTCGAAAAAGCTGTTTGTGTTCCACAGAAAAAAATAAGTCATACACATCTGGGACATCAGGAGAGTGAGTAAATTATGACAGAAATTTCATATTTGGGTAAGCTATCCCTTTAGGAGTGTCCTCAATCTTAAAGGGATAGCTTGTGAACTGAAAAAAATCCCTAAGAAGAAACATTTTGTTGATAATTGGATGTTCCGATTTGATCAAAACAAGATCACAATTCACAATCTTATTACAGTTCTTAAATTTTAATTAACGTAAAGTAATTTTGCTTTCTGTGTGCAGTAAAAAAAAAAACTAATTTCCTTATTTTAAAAAGACAGCCCTACAAGGTAACAAAAAAAAAAAGACCATTTAAATAGACAGACATTAAAAGACTATTAAAATTATTAAAAGACTAGATCACTAGATAATATGTTGACTTTGATTTATTTTTCAAAGTATTTACAGATCATTTAACATAAATTTATAGATCAACTGTACACTAAACAGATTTTTTAAGGGATCTTTTACACTGAAATATTTATATCTAACTGAAGAAATCAGCATATGGAAATTAAGACACACGTAACCCTGTCTGGTCTATTTGGAACAGTTAAACTGTGTAACTTAAAGGGATAGTTCACCCAAAAATGTAAATTCTGCCATCATTTACACACTTTTTGTTGGAACACAAAAGAAGATATTTTTAGAAATGTCTTTTTTGTCAATTCAATAAAAGTCAGTAGACACTGAAATGGTGTTCAAGAGTAAATGATGACAGAATTTTCTTTTTCAACTGAATGATCCCTTTAAATTTATACACATTTATGGCACCTCAGATTTCTGAGATAAGCAAAACTCTTCCCACACTTGTCACACACATACGGCTTCTCTCCCGTATGAATATGCATGTGAGCTTTGAGCGAATTCGACTGGTTAAATTCCCGCCCGCATTCGGCGCATTTGAACGGCTTTTCTCCGGTGTGTATGCGCTGATGTCGACGGAGATTTCCCAAGGTGGAAAAACCTTTCCCGCATGTGTCACAACTAAAAGGTTTTTCACCGCTATGTGAGGTCTGGTGAGCCTTAAGGCAGTTCTGCTGCCGAAATGTCTTCCCGCACACCGAACAGATAAAGGGCTTTTCTCCCGTATGAACCCTTTCGTGAGTTTTCACACCGGCCACACTCTGAAAGGACTTTCCACACAAACAACAGCTGTGTTTGTTAGTCACAGAGTGTTTGTGCTGGTGAGATTTCAAGGTGTTGATGGAACTGAGGGTCTCGCTGCACACTGTACAATTGACCGGCAACTGTGCCTCATGAATCGGCAGATGCTTTTTTAGGGTGTTTAAGCAACCCAAGACTATCCCGCATACACAACAGTGGTGTCCGTTTTGTCCTGCGTACTTTCCCTCATGCAGCCGAAGCAGAAACTTCTGGACAAAGCCCTGATTGCACATTTTGCATTTGTGAGGTTTCTCGCCGGTGTGAGTTAGATGGTGGGCCTTCAGCGAATCGAGCTGGTTGAAACTTCGTCCACACGTCTGGCAAGTGAACGGCTTCTCGCCTGTATGGATTCTCTTGTGGCGAAGTAGGTTGTTGCGAAAGTTGAAGCTCTTCTCACATACGTCACATTTATGCAGCTTCTCTCCTGAATGCACGACCAAATGCTTCCTGAGACAGTAAGCTTGATGAAAAGACTTCCCACAAACTTTACACGTAAAAGTCTTGTCTTCGTTATGAATCCTCTGGTGACCCTTCAGCTGTTTGTGTTCGGTGAAGGTCTTACCGCATTGATTGCAAACATAAGGGCTCTTGTCAGTATGAAGCTGGTAGTGTACATCTAAACTGCCTTTACTTCCAAAACGCCGACCACACTGCGAGCAGCTAAAGGGTTTCTCTGCCGCCACATGAACGACCTGATGAGCTCTCAGAACAACTGAGTCAAATTTCCTTCTACATTGTTTACAGCTGAGTGTTTTACCTTTCTTCCGACGGCTCACCCGCACACCTCTGCTTTTTAACACACTCAAACTTCTAGATGCTTTCGCAACATCCTGAGTCACAGAGGAGTTTGTAGTATTTTGTAGTCCCGTGCAGCTGATGTCCGCAGCATCATTGTCCTGCAACACCACAAACGGAGGATGGTTGCTGTTTTCAGAACAATCCGCTGACTTTTTTGCCCTAATGATTGCCGTCTTCTGTGTTTTAGTGGGCTTTTCAAAACAGAAAAAGAGAACAATTTAGGTAAAAACGAAAGGAATGTATTATTGCAGTATACGCTAAAGTTCAAATATTTGGGGTTAGTAAAATGTTTTGTAATATTTTGTAGTAAAGATTTTGTAATATTCTGGAATATTATTACATTTTTTTTGTTTGAATATATTTTGAAATTATTTATTCCTTTGATGGCAAAGCTGAATTTTCATTAATAGTCATTACTTAGTGTCACATATTCCTTCAGAAATCATTCTAATATGCTGATTTGGTACTCAAGAAGCATTTTTTTTATTGTTAATGTAAAAAAAAAAACAGTTGTGCTGCTTAATATTTTTGTGGAAACTGTGATAATTTTCTTTTTCATCTTCTCCTGAAGGATTTTTTTTTTCCAATAAAGTGTTTTTAACCTTGAACCAAACCAACAATCTCTGAAATGAAATAGACATTAACTTTGAGTGTAATTGATGCAGCATTGTAAATTGCCAAATAATGATAAATGGTGTTACAATATAAAACTACTGCCTCATAGTTACAGATTACAAGCATAAAACAATTTATTTGAACATAATTGCAAAATATTAAAATATTTATAATTAATATTTCAATAATTTCAGAGTGTAGTGAGAATGATTTTTCTGACCGCTCTTTAGAATTTGGGTATTTGCGTAGTTCTTCACCGAAAATTCATCAATTAGACATGACAAAAAAGATTTTTACTTTCAGAACTGAACTGTTGCGCTCCTTTATGTGTGAATGACTTACTGTTTTCACATGGTCAGTGTCTATGATCTCCTCCTGTCCCCAGCTCACAACAATGGCGATTTTCTCTGCAGAGACTGCAATGGCACAGCAGATCATAAACCTTGAAGATATGCTCCGAGAAGCACAGTGGTGTGGATGAAGCATAAGCAGTGAATCTCACCTAGAGTAAGCTGGTCAGTGGACTGACTTCTTTGAAGACCACTATCAGTTAGATTAGTCTCTCTTTGTAGAGTCGTGTGCTGTTTCTCAGCTTGCTTCAATCTTGTTTTCAAGTCATCCTGTGAACTTGGAGTCATTTCTTTGTGCAGAAGTGCAGAGAAAAGCTGGCATATTTTCTCCACAGCTTCCTTTGCATTACGTTCTAACACAGAGTTCAACTGTGTCTGAAATATAGGAACAAATCAATTATAAATTAGCTTACATTAAGCTGTCAATCAGTAAGGATTAGCTACAGGACCTGACAGGATCACTTTTTCTTACAATAACTTTGATAACAGGATTGTTACCCAATGTCTGAGCTAGGTTATACTAATGCAGTCAATTTGTAAACAAACTGAGAAACTGGAATGAAATTATTTACTCAAAATGAAGTTATTTGGGTGTCACCATTTAAAGGAATGCTAAAATTTTTAACAAGGCTACAAAATGCTCAATATTACGTTTAAATTATCATTTTATCTGTGACTCTGAGGCCAAGAGATAATTGTATTAGGGTATTTACTAAAAACATTTAATCACACTTTAATCAAATCATGCAGGTTATGAAGTATAGCTTAAAAACAAACGCAGCAAGCAAGAAAACGGTAATTTCGTGC